CTCGCCGGTCACCTCCAGGCCGCCCCCGGGGCTGGCTCCGCCGTGCGCCGCGCCGGACTCCCCTCCGCTAGGGGTGAGGGGGGCCGCAGTGGGCTCCGGGCGGCGCGGAGCGGCCCCTGACGGGCTCGCGGCCCCGGTGGAAAGGAGAGCTCGCATCTCCTGCACGCGGAGGCCGCCCCTCTCGAGCCTCTTGCCTTCTGCTTGCCCGCGGGTCTCTGGAAGAAAACAAGCCCACCTCGTCTCACTACCATGGCCCTGTGCTAGCAAGACCCTTGGGTCCGGGGGAAACTGGGAGAAAAGGCGCCGAGGGGCCCCTCCCACCGCATCCCTGTCATCAGGTTCTGTCCTGCTCAAAACCCTGCGGCTTCAGGGCCTCCCAGTCCCCCTTAGCTGGGCCTGGGAAGGGGCATCTGGGATTGTGTCGAGTCCTCCGGGGTTCACGCCGCTCAGTCACGCTTACAGATTCTTCCTGGAGCGCGCACTGTCAAGCTCCTCCCTCCCTGCCAAACGGTCTCCCTCGCCTCGGGCCTCACCTCTCTCCCTTTGTTGTGATTCACTTTTGCAAATTAAAGCTAGTTTGGAAGGATAAATTCTTTCTGGGTAAGTCCTAAGAATGTAGATCAGTGAGTTTTTCCCTGAGAGAAGCTCACAGATGCTTGGAGAGATGTAGACGTCTGTACAAAGCCCAGGATTAGAACAGAGAAGGAAGTTTTAACTATCTCTGGAGGTGAGGGAAGGTTTCCCTGAGGAGACACCTAAGCTGGGTTTTGAAGGAAGAAGAGAGATTTGCTAGACAAGAGAGAGAGAGAAGGAATTATGCAGAAAGTTATGCAAATAAACTTTGTGCAAAGGCATAAGACAACATCCTACAAAAAATTTAAAGTGAAGGCCAGGCACAGTGGCTCATGCCTATAATCCCGGCACTTTGGGAGGCTGAGGTGGGAGGATTGCTTGAATCCAGGAGTTGGAGACCAACCTGGGCAACATAGAACTCCTCGCTACAAAAAAATAAGAAAATTAGTCAGGTGTGGTGTACACCTGTAGTCCTAGTTACCTGGGAGACTGAGGCAGAAGAACTGCCTGAGCCCAAGAGGCTGCAGCGAGCCATGATCATGCCACTACACTTCAGCCTGGGTGACAGAGTGAGACCCTGACTAAAAAAAGAAAAAGGTGCAGTGGTTCATGCCTGTAATCCCAGCACTTTGGAGGGGAAGGTGAGAGGATTGCCTGAGCCCAGGGGTTCAAGATCAGTCTGGGCAATATTAGTGAGACCTCGTCTCTACAATAAATTAAGCAATTAACTGGGCATGGTGGTGCACGCCTGAGGTTTCAGCTACCTGGGAGGCTGAGGTAGGAGGATCACCTGATCCCAGGAGGTCGAGGCTGTGGTGGCCATGAGTGTGCCACTGTACTCCAGCCTGGATGACAGACTGACTAAAAAATAAAAAGTAAGGGGGAGATTCCGGGAGATGAATCTGAAGAGGTGAGTAGAAATCAGAAAAGACAGATTTTTACATTTAAAAAAATTTTACCTGGGCAGCGAGACCGCATCTCTACAATAAAGCAAAAAATCAGCCGGGCGTGGTGGCGCACGCCTGGAGTTCCGGCTCCTCGGAAGGCTGAGGCGGAAGCATCGCCGGAGCCCAGCAGGCGAGGCTGCGGTGGCCGGGAGCGGCCGCGGCGCTCCAGTCGGGGCGACCGAGTGAGACTCCGACTCAAAAAAAAAAAAAAATTTTAGAGGGTCTCACTCTCCCGCCCTGACTGGATGCAGTGGCGTGACTACACCCTCAGAGAAGAGCTGGAGGTGCAGAAGCGATAACCCATGCAAACAAGTCCCGAGGAAGCAGGAAGGGCGATGCCACCCCGAGCCCGGAGGGGACGGGTTCCCACAGTGATAAGGTTCTTCAAGTTGGGTGAGTTCACTGAGGAAAGAGATCCGTAAGTGTGAAGTAGAAGGCTAACTCAGGAGGTAGAGGCTGGGTAGTTTCGGTTTGTGTGCTTGTTTTCAGAAGCAAGGTCTCTGTGGTGCGATCTTGGCTCCAGTGTGGGCCACCACATCTGGCTAATTTTTAAAATTTTTTGTAGAGACGGGATCTTGCTCTGTTGCCCAGGTGGGTTTCAAACTCCTGGCCTCAAGCAGTCCTCCTGTCTCAGCCTCCCACAGTGCTGGGATGACAAGCATGAGCCACTGTGCATGGCCGTGGATTTTTAAAAGAAAGGAGTGTGGCCAGGCTCAGTGGCTCAGCCTGTCATCCCAGCACTTTGGGAGGCTGAGGTTGGTGGATTGCCTGAGCCCGTGTGTTCGAGACTGGCCCAGGCAACTTGGCAAGACCTTGTCTCTACAGCATATCAAAAATTAGCCGCGTATGGTAGCATGTGGATTGCCGGAGCCCAGCAGGTCGACGCTGGGGTGGCTGTGAGCGGACCACTGCATTCCAGCCTGGGCAATGGAGTGAGACTCTGACTCAAAAAAAAAAAAAAAAAAGGAGCAGCCACTGAAGAGAATGGGCCAGAAAGATGAGATAGGACTAATGAACCAAAGGCTCCTCAGTGAGTGGACCATGGTTTTATGGTAGCATGAACACACAACTGTTTGGCAGTTTTCTTCAGCAGAGCTGCCTATTTGGGACAAAGAACGGATACCAGTGGGAGCTGCAGGCTTGTAAGGAAGGACAACTCAATCTACCTTCCAGGGGGTTCCACCAGATTATGAGCACCTGGATTTTAAGACTCATGTTACACAGCGAAGAAGCATGGGGCTTGGAGGCAGCAAGCTGAAATTCTGCTCTTGCTAAGTGCTCTACCTGGCCTCTGTGCCTCGGGTCTCTCATTTGTGAGAGAATCAGTTCCATCCACTGCAAAGGGTCACTCTGAGGACTAAATGAGATAAGGTCTGTGGAAGAGCCCTGCATCTGCCTGGGATCCACAGAGTGCTGAGTTAAATGTTAATTTTCTTCCTTCTAAGGGAAGGTACTTATTCTTTTGTCTCTCTTCATTGCATAAATACTGAATTGTATGTGGCATACTTGCATTTTTTAAAGTCTCCAAGTCTAAATTTATAAAAATAGATTCTCTGCTTTACACAAGACTTCACTGCAGGGTTCTTTTCAGTGGCATCGGCCCCCACAACAATTAAAACATGGTTCAATTGGCAGAATGCAGGAACACATTTCAGCCTAAGCTTAGACAACACACAGCGTGTTGTAGTTGTGACCCTGGAAAGGGATTTACCAACCAAGCAAAGGTGCTGAAGTCACGATTCCAAGTTTGCCTCAACCCAGATACTGTTTTGTCCAAAGGCTCCAGATCTATAGGAGAGCATTCCTGCTGATTTGGTTCTTCCAGAGACAGACTGGAGGTAGGCTGCTGGGTTTGAATTCTGGCTCTGTCATTTACTGGCTGTGTGACCTTGGGTAAGTTTATTGATATCTCTGACCTTCAATTTCCTCATCTATTAAATGAAAATAATTATAGTCCCTATATCTCAGGGGATTGTTTTGAAAACTAAGAGCATTTTAAAAGCTCAGAATGGTGCCTGACACTTGACAGTGACTGAATGTGAGAGTGGCTGTTACCCCTGCTGCTGCTGCCCCTGAAGACTGTTTTAAGAGTTGGGGGACCAGGCACAGTGGCTCACGCCTATAATCCCAACACTTTGGAAGGTGGAGGAGAGAGGATTGCCTAAGCCCACGGATTCAAGGCCAGCCTGGGCAACTTGGCAAGACTTTGTCTCTACAATAAATACAGAAATTAGCCGGGTGTGGTGGCGCACACCTGTGGTTTCAGCTACTTGGAAGGCTGAGGTGGAAGGATTGCCTGAGCCCAGCAGGTCAAGGCTGCAATGGCCGTGAGCATGCCACTGCACTCCAGCATGGGCAACAGGATGAGACTCCGACTCTGAATAAAATAAAATAAAATAAATAATAAAGTGTTGGGGGAGGCACATGTGGAGAGAAGACTTCAGTATAATTGCCAACACGTCACACACTCTTGACACTTTCCCATAGCACACATTAAGGTGTGTGGAGGTGGTGCCTACACCTGGGAGCAGCTTCCAGAGCCCAAATCAAAATAGTAACCAAAATGAGGAGAGTGGCAGTATCAACACTGATGATCAAGAAAAGATGTGGGCTGGGCTTGGTGGCTCAGCCTGTAATCCCAGCACTTTGGGAGGCCAAGGCGAGTGGATTGTCTGAGACCCACCCAGGCAACTTGGCAAGACCTCGTCTCTACAATAAGTCAAAAATTAGTTGGATGTGGTAGCACGCATCTGTAGTTCCGGCTACTTGGAAGGCTGAGGCAGAAGGATTGCCGGAGCCCAGCAGGTCAAGCGTGCCACTGCACTCTAGTCTGGGCGACAGAGAGAGACTCCAACTCAAAAAAAAGAAAAAAAAGATGTGAAGGAACCAACTGAATTCAGGGTTCTGAATCTGCATATTATCTTCCCCTGCCCCATCACGTGCAGCTGTCTGTAACTGCACAAACTGTATTTAAATCTTCTATGGGGACAGGTGTGGTGGCTCATGCCTGTAATCCCAGCACTTTGGGATGCTGAGGCAAGATCACTCGAGGCCAGGAGTTTGAGACCAGCCTAGGCAACACGATGAGAACTTGTCTTTACAAAACATCAAAAATGTATCTGGGTGTGGTAACACACACCTGTAGTCCCAGCTACTCAGGAGGCTGAGGCAGGAGGATCACTTGAGCCCAGAAGGTGGAGGCTGTGGTAAGCTGTGATTGTGCCACTGCACTCCAGCCTAGGCAACAGAGTGAGACCCCAACTAAAAAAAATAAATAAATAAAAGAAAGCTATCTAGTTCTATCATACCAGCTTTGGGGAAGGAATGCCTGTTGCTGCCCTGGATTGATGGCAGGAGCCAACTAAATCGCAAAGGATGTTTCTATGGTAGAAGGTGTGATGGAATAGTTTAGAAGCTTGAAGTCATGTTTTTTACATCCCCTTCAGTCGAGGGCTCACTTAAAAGCTAAAACCTTACCTGCCAGGAGCTCCAGGCTGCTGTTCTCATGTGCATCCTCAGTGCTCTGGACTGAATCCTTTTTCTCCAGGGTCAGCTGCTTAAAAAGTTAGAAGTCCTAAGCGAGTTTTGCAGAAGCATGAACGAGCCCTAGTGTGCCTGGAAGCCTAGCTACCCTCACAGGCTGTCCTCCCTCACTTGAAACTCCTTCTGAACCTCCTCCTGGCTCATGAACCCCCACCCAACCTCCACCAAGGCTTCTGTGGATCATGGCGTCTGGCACATAGTTCCATCGCTGCACTCCAGTCACTTGCCTACTGCCTGCCCCACTCCTTGGGCTCTGAAAGATGCTCTTCAAGTCCCCGTTCATCATTTTATGTGTATAGGTCCATTTTCTACACTTAAATCCCTTGAAAAGTAAGGTTCCTCGTGCCTTTATCTCTTTCAGTTAGCAGAGTGCCTTATGCAGGGTAAGTTTGAGAAAGTCAAATCTGGGAAGCCACAGGACACATTCTGTAGTCATCTGTAACCTCTCAGAGCCCTGCCACATTTGTTTGTTCAATTTGGACAGTGAAAAGGAGGTACCCACTAAGACCAGAAGCCAATCCTCCCAGTGCCTCTTCCCCCAACCTGCTTTTTTTTTTTTTTTGAGGAGTCTCTGTTGCATAGGTTGGAGTGCAGTGGCATGATCACAGCTTACGATGACCTCAGTCTGCTGGGCTCACTTCCACCTCAGATTCCTGAGTAGCTGGGACTATAGGCACATGCCACCATGTACGGCTATTTTTTTTTTTTTTTTTTTTTTTTTTTTTTAGAAATGAGATCTGGCTATGTTGCCTAAGCTGGTCTCAATCCCCTGTGCTCCAGCAATCTGCCTGCCTTAGCCTCCCAGAGTACTTGGATTACAGGCATGAACCACTGTGCCAGGTCCCGTTTTTCTTTTCAAGAATACAAATATAGACTGGGCACAGTGACTCATACCTGTAATCCCAGCACTCCAGGAAGCTGAGGCTGGTGGACTGCTTGAGACCAGCCTAGACAACATAACCAGACCTTGTCTCTACAAAAAATTAGTTGGGTGTGGTGGTGTGCACCTATAATCCCAGCTACTCGAGAGGCTGAAGCAGGAGGATTGGCTGGCTCAGGAGATCAAGGCTGCAATGAACTGTGATCATGCCACTGTATTCCAGCCTGGACAACAGAGTGAGACCTCAATTCAAAAAAAACAAAAAGCAAATGTTTAAAAATAGATATCAGCCAGGACTGTCATACCAACACTTTGGAGAGCTGAGGCAGGAGGATCATTTGAAGCCAGGTGTTCAAAACCAGCCTAGGTAGCCAAGAAATTCTCACTCTACAAAAAATTTTAAAATTAGCTGGGCACAGTGGCTTGCATCTGTCATCCCACCTACTTGGGAGGCTGAGGCGGGAGGATCACTGGAACCCGGGAGCTTGAGGCTGCAGTGAACTCTGATCATACCACTGTGCTCCAGCCTGGGCAACCTGTCTCTAAAAAAAAAAAATATCATCTTCATCAAAATTAAAAATGTATGCTCAAAGAACATGACAAAAGTGAAAAATCAACCCAGAAGAATGGGAGAAAATATTTGCAAATCACATTTATTAAGGTACTTTTAGTCAGAGTTAAGAACTCTTACTTACAACTCAATAATTTAATAACCCAATCAAAAATGGACAAAAGATTTGAACAGATATTTTTTCAAAGAAGATATACTAATGGCCAATAATCACATGGAAAGATACTCAACATCAACATCTATTGGGAAAATGCAAATCAACACTGCTATATTACCTTACACCCGCCAGGATGGCAATAATAATAAAAACAATAACTGTTGAGGAGATGGAGAAATTGGAACGATCATACAGTGCACCAGGAATATAAAGAGGTGCAGCCATTGTGGAAAACAGCTTGGAAGTTCCTCAGAAGCCTGAGACAAAGTGTTATTATATGACCCAGCAATTCCACTCCTAGATATACTCAAGAAAATTACAAACATGTCCACACAAAAATGTTCATAGCAGCATTATTCATAATAGCTAAACAGTGAAAAAAATTCAAGTGTTTATTTTTATTGTCTAAATTGAGGTCTCTGTTGCCCAGGCTGGAGTGAATGGCATGATCACTTCTTACCACAACCTCAATCTCCTGAGCCCAGGCAATCCTTCCATCTCAGCCTCCTTAATAGCTGGGACTGCAGACACACACCACCACAGCAGGCTAATTTTTAAAAATTTTCTTATAGAAATATTATAGCTATGTTGCCTAGGTTGGTCTCAAACTCCTGGGCTCAAGTGCTCCTCCCCCTCGGCCTCCCAAAGTGCTGGGATTATAGGCATGAGCAATTGTGACTGGCCCTAAATTATACATTTCAAAATGGTACTACCCACATTGAGATATAAAGCTCTGGGCCCTATAAGAGACTTGCACACCCTTCACTCATCATCTAGTCCCCAGATGAGACAGCCCTGTCCTCAGAGCAAACCTCCTTAGGCTTAACACTCTATAGGACGTTTCCTGTTCTCAGTCCCTACACACATCTGTGCTAAGCCCTGAAGTATTATCTTGCCTCCTTCCAGGCCCACAGTTTGTGTTCCAACACCCAGTCTTAAAATATCCACTGCTAACCTGGTGTGATGGTGCACACCAGTAGTCCCAGATCCTCGGGAGACTGAGGTAGGAGGATCACTTTAGCCCAGGAGTTCAAGGCTATGTGTGAATAGATACCTCACTCCAGCCTGGGCAACAGCTAGACCCACCTCTTAAAAAAAACAAAAACAAAAAGCCAACCACTCCTTTGCTGTGCTGCGTGATCTTTCCCTAAGAATATTACATAAAATTGCAACTACACAGCCCTTCATTTTTCATTTCTCAACAAACTACTTAATGACCATAGATGGTTTATTGTCTATTCTACTTATCCTTTTTAGAAATGGAGCTGGATGCGATCAGTGGCTCAAGCCTATAATCCCAGCACTTTTGGAGGCCGAGGTGAGAGGATTGCTTGAGCTCAGGGGTTCGAGACCAGCCCGCGCAACTTGGTGAGATCTACTCTCTGCAATAAATAAAAAAATAAGCCAGGTGTGGTAGTGTGCACCTGTAGTTCCAGCTACTTGGAAGGCTAAAGCAGAAGGATTGCCTCAGCCCACAGGACAAGGCTGTGGTGGCCGTGAGCAGTGTGCCACTGCATTCCAGCCTGGGCGACAGAATGAGATTCCAACTCAATAAATAAATAAATAAATAAATAAGGAAACTGAGGTAAAATAATTCTAGCATCCCTGATCTTGTAGTTTAAGCAGAAGCCACTGGGTGCCACTCTTGTGCCACTAACAAGTTTTTAAATACTAAATGGCCATTACCAGAGAGAAACAGTGATGACTTGAGTGAAGCAGCATGAGTTCCACTCAGTGCCCTGGATCACCCATCTTCCCTGGGCTTGAGACCCAGTCCTATGTGGTAACAATGTTACTAGGCTTCAGAGCTGGAAGATAGTGCAAGTTCTAGCCTTGCCAATTACTGGATTTGTGTTTCTGACCAAATTACGAAAGCTCGGTTACCAGTTTCTTCATCTGCAAAATGGAAAAACTACAATCTAACTCGTAACAATCTTGCAGAGATTAAAGTGCAAATCTAGGGATTCAGTAAATGCTCCTTCCTTCCAAGGCCTATGACTATGGTAAGACCTTGAGTTCACTACCCATCTGCCAAGTTAATTGGGCTACGAATGGCCCTGAGGCTGCGAACAATCACTATAGCAAAAGAATAGGATAAAAGAGGTCAGACCATTTCTTTTTGAGATCTCACTGGGATATCAGGCCCAAGTAAAAGGACTTCATAGGCTGTAACATACCTAGATCCTGAGAAGTCTGTCTCTGCTCATATATCCTGGGTCCTATGACAATGGCACATCTTACCCCGAACCTATTCCTAGAACCCTAGAACGCTGAGGATGTGGATGGCTGTAGTGAATTGAATTGTGACTTGCCCTCTTCGCAAATATGTCCAAGTTCTAACCTCCAGAACCTGTGAATGTGAGTGTATTTGAAAAACAAGTTTCTTTGCAGATGTAATTAAAGATCTCGAGATGGGATCATCCTGGATTTAGGGTGGTTTAGGATGGACCTTAAATCCAATGACCTTATAAGAGACTTTATAAGAGAAAGACAGAGATATAGATAGACCAAGGGGAAAATGCTATGTGAAGATGAAGACTTTGAAGTTATGCAAGCTACAAGCCATGGAATACCTTCCAGCAGAAGCTAGAAGAGGCAAGGAAGGAGTCTCATTTAGGGCCTTTGGAGGGAATGCAGCCCTGCCAACACTTTGATTTTGAACTTCTGGCCTCCACGACTGTGAGAGAATAAATTTTGATTGTTTTAAAGATATGTTTATGGTAATTTCTTTCTTTTCTTTCTTTCTTTTTTTTTTTTTTTTGAGTCGGAGCCTCACTTTGTTGCCCAGAGTAGAGTGCAACATTCTCTCTGGTAATGGCCAGGCTGGTCTCAAATCCCTGAGCTCAGGCACTCCTCTCGTCTCTGCCTCCCAGAGTGCTGGGATTACAGGTGTGAGCCATCACACGCGGCTCATGGTAATTTCTTACAGTATCCTAGGAAATGAATACAATGGGTTTCATCTTTATTTGCTCAAGGTGTGGGAAGCAGCTCTCCAAGTTGGAGGGAAACTGGCCAAGAGTATTTACTGTGACCCCGCTGAAAGTATCTCGACTTGCTGGGCTCAGGTGATCCTTCTGCCTCAGCTTTCCAAGTAGATGGAACTACAGGCGCATGCTACCACACCCGGCTAATTTTTTCATTTATTATAGAGACGGGTCTCCCCAAATTGCCCAGGCTGGTCTGGAACTCGTGGGCTGAGGCAATCCTCTCACCTCAGCCTCCCAAAGTGCTGGGATTATAGGCATGAGCCACCACACTGGCCTCATATTGTTTATAACAACTTTATTGAGATATAACTGACATAAATTGTATATATAAAATTTACACTTTTGTAAGTTTTCACAGGTGTACATACCTGTGAAACCATCAAACAAGATAATGAACATATTTATCACCCTCAGA